ATTTTAGGTAGGGATGATTTTAAGAAAATTTTAATTGACACACAGCTTCGAATATTTGGCTTTTAATTTGGTTTTATGGGGGTTTTTTCTGTTCTTTGATGTATTTTGTTTGTCTGTTTTAATATGCTGTGCACCGCCCTGAGTCCTACGGGAGAAGGGCGGTATATAAATTAAATTATTAAATTAAATTAAATTAAATATGTTTAACATCTGTTGCACATATTGTGGACTTAGCTGTCCAGATTTTCCAATTTAGTTATTTTCTTTATAGGAAAATACATTTTTATTTTCATTATTGGGCTTTTGTCTTATTTATTTTAATTTTGTTTCCTGCCCAGAGTCAGTTTGGAGCTGGACAGCAACAAAGTCTAATAAAAAAAAATTCCTCTGCTAAACTGCATTTTGTTTTTTTGGTTTTTTCCTCTTGCCCAATTGCTTGATAGTTTGGGGAAGCTGTTTGCAATCTCTTCTATGACTTTTTTGTGACATCTTTTTATTTGTAAGCAATGAAGAAGAAAGGATGTTTAATGCAGAGAGGCAGGTCCAAGCCATTGCTTTGCTTCTAATATGTAATGCTGATTGTTTGGTATCAGCTCAAAAATTTCTATAGACAGCTATACACTATAGAGTGTAAACACATACACACGGGGGGGGGGATTAACAAGAGTTGCCAAGAAAAAAATGAAATCTGGAATTGGCAGAAAGGAAGTTTAAAAAATTGCATAAAAGCTATTGCACAGGACAAAAGAAGGTGGCACCCATCTATCTTAGAACTGCCAGTGCTATCTCACAATTTGAGGAAATGAACCTTTGCTCTTTTCTGTAAATTTGGCTTCTAAACGAAAGCTGACTATTTCCCTTGTCTGCTCATACACTCTTCCTTTGTGTAGCAAACAAGAAAAGTCAATCAGGGAAGCCAGATTCGCTTAATGACCACAGTGATTCACTTAACAGCTGCAGCAAAAAAGATCATAAAATTGGCAACAGCTCAATGACTTAGTGATGGAAGCTCTGGTCCCAATTCTGGTCATAAGACAAGGACTACCTGTCCATCCACAAAACTGTTTCTCCATCGACTGCTGTGTCTATTGCTGCTGTTTCATGCA